GAAATGTTGGGGAAGAGTGAAGAGGAAGGGGAGAATAAGGAAGAAGAAGGTTAATTTTGAAAATGATTTTAATTAATTAATAATAAATGGTTTTTATTTATTTGTTTAAAATTAAAAATGCCACGTAAACAAAATAAAGTGCCATCTCATCAATTTTCGTGTGTTATCTTTTCCACATCAGTATTTTTTCAAAAATAAAAAAGATTTGCTGGCAAATTAACGTGACACCTGTCATTTAACTGACGGAAGGACTATTTTGGTACTAAAAATGAAAGTTCGAGGATAATTTTGGTACTTTTTAAAGATAAGGGACAATTTTGGTACCAAAGTGTAAAGTTGAGGGACTAAAATGGTACTTAAACCTTTAATGTATAATAGATTCATTTACTACTGTCTTAGCATCTTTTTCAACAAGAATATTAATTTGAGTAAGAGCATTTAAAGTTGGGATGTGTGAACTAGTTACTTTCTTTACATTCGTGAATGCATCAGACAATTGATTTGTAATCTTTTGCAAATCAATTGTTTTATGAACTTCTAATTCACTTTGACTTGTTTGAAGGTCTAAATGAAATATAGATAATGCATCCCAAGTTAATTTCTATTTTGTCAACTTTTGTTCCTCTCCCCCAATGTTGGGAACAAGTTTTCATCAAATTAATAATCAACAAATCTTGCTGTGAAAACATCACCAATTGGTTCAAGATATTTAATTATAAATGGTGATTCAAAACCAATATAAATTCCTAGTCTTCTTTGGGGACTCATTTTAGTGCATTCTGTAGGAGTAATAGGAATGTATACAGCACAACAAAAAATTTTTAAATGGGACATATTTGGTTCAATCCCATAAACAAGTTGTAATGGGTGAATGCTTATGATAAGCAATTGATCTTAATTGAATTAATACTGCAGCGTGTAATATAGCATGATCTTAAGCAAAAAAGGGTAACTATGATCTCATAAGCAATAGTCTTGTAATCAATTGCAAATACTTAATAAGAGATTTAGCCATACCATTTTGTGTATGTATATGAGGAATTGTCTACTCAACAGTAATCTCAGTTGACATACAATAATCATTAAATGATTAGGATGTAAATTCTCTTGCATTATTAAGTTGGATCCTTTTTATTCAATAATCAGGAAATTGTACCCTCAATTTTATTATATGTGTAAGAAGCCTTCCAAATGCAACATTGCGTGTAGATAATAAGAAAACATGTAACCATCTTATTGGAGCATCTATCAATACCATAAAATATCAAAATGGTATAGATGGTGAATTTATGAGCCCACAAATATCTCCTTGAATCTATTTTAAAAATGAAAGAGATTCATTTTTTATTTTAGTTGTAAAAGGCCTAGTAATTAATTTACCAAGGGAGCAAGCAACACACAAAAAAGCAATTGATAATAGAACTTTCAAGTTCTTTAGTAGGTGTCAATGTGAACTTTCTATAATTCTCTACGTCATAATAGTAGCTAGATGACCAAGTCAATTATTCCAAAGGATAAAGGCATCTGGATTCACTAATTTTTGATTAGTCACAACATTGTATTTTATTGGATGTATATATGTATAATACAATCCATAAGAGAAGGTTAACTTTTTCTCTAATGTATTTTTTTTCTAAATGCAAAAGTTGTGATATGAAGGAATTCTATTCCATTTTCATCCATGGTTTTAATATGAAAACCATTACAACATATATCCTTAAAATTTAGTAGATTTTGATTTGATCTACTAGAATATAGAGCATCATGTATTAGTAATTTGTTCATCCAGGCAACAAAATGCAAGTTTTTTCAGAGTTTTCGAATCAACTTTGCCATACTAGATATAGTATGAACATTAGTCTTAGCTATCTTTAATTGAGAAAAATAATTCTTATTTTTCAAGATGGTATGTGTTGTGCCATTGTCAACAAGGCATAGATCTCCATCATTGATTTGAGAATCATCCAAGTCCTTTTGGTCTTAAATAAAGACAAATGAAATAAAAGAGACAAATATTCAATATATGTATATTCTGAAATGATATATTCTTTTTATGAATATAAAAAGGACATTATATGTAGAAAAGGGAAATAACCACTTAGAGCAAATTATTTAAGAAGACACAATAAGTCAAACTCTTGGTTGGGTATCACCAACACCATTAAACTTTTCAACACCTTAAAAAAATGCAACATCAAGGTATGTATCAAGATACATATTGTTATGCTCAATAAAATTCATTTTTGGATTTTTTCTTTTTCCTTTTCCTTTTTCATTAAGTGAGGCTTGGTAAAGATCAACCAAATGCCTTGCAGTGTGATAGGCATGCTCCCAATATCCTTTCGCTCCACATCGATAATAAAAACTTTTAAGATCTTTTGCAAGGTTCTTTTGTAAATTTCACGTTCTTTTGTAAATTTTACCCCTTACATTCTTTTGTTCAGCAAATTCATATTTGAGGGTAAAACCACTATTGTGCCAAGTATTATTTCGATCATGGGCATGCCCTCGGCCATGGTTACTACCATAATTATGACCACAGCGACAACCATAACCATGCTTATTATTATTATATGAGGTCACATTTACCTCAAGTAACAGGGCTAAACTAGTAGGTCGTGACTATTGATTTTTCGTCAAAAGTTCATTATTTTGTTCAATAATAAGAAATTATGATATTAAGTCTAAATATTTTTTAAAGTCACACTCTCAATATTGTTGGTGAAGGAGCAAATTTGAGAGATGAAAAGTGGAGAATATTTTCTCCGACATGTTATTATTAGTAATTTTTTCTTTGCATATTTTAATTAAGATGAAATGCAAAATACTGTCTAGTTGTACTCACTAACAAATTTAAAATCTTGCAATCATAGATGCATTCATTTATAATGAGCTTTTGGCAGGATCATCAATTTTTCGTGATCATGTCTTTCTTTCAAATTCTACCATAATTCAAATAGATCTTTGATTGTCAAATAATCAACCTTCAATCCCTCATGAAGATAATGGTGAAGGAATATCAGCACTTTAGTATGATATTGTAAGGATGCTTGATTTTCTTCAACAATTGTTTCACCAAGATTATTTACAATCAAATGGATTTCAGTATCAAGTATCAATGGCAAATAATTTGGGCCCATTACATCGAGGGCAACAAATTCAAGTTTTTGTCAAGTTTGATATTGTGGCTGCAAAAATTTGTTAAATATTGAAGTCAAACTGAAACTAGAAAATAAAGGATTACCTTAAGAGCTTACCACAAATTGAATGGTGAAGATGGTTGTACTAATAAGGTATTATAAAATAAAAGGGAAAGTAGCAAGATAACAAACAAAAGTGAAAATTTTTTATTTCACCATGTAAAAATCATTCTAACTTGTAGGTCTATATATAGGTTAAGGGGCATGTGGAGGTTACATTAGCCATGAATAGGGTT